TTATGGTCAAAATATGTGGTTTATTTTGAACAATCAAGGAAAAAAGGAGATAGAATAAAAACTGGAAAGACATATTTACATATATGTAACATATATAGAGGAGTCGTGTGTGTGTGTGTGTGTGTGTGTGTGTGTGTGTGTGTGTGTGTGAGCGTGCGTGCTATGCCCTTTTGTTTTTAACTGCAGCCCATGAGGGAACACTAAAGGCTTTTAGCTAGCAGATTAAGGTATGATGAGCTCTGTCATTTGGAATAACTGCAGTGATCTGTGTAAGGCCTGGGTGTGCTGCTCTCACCTTCCCGACAGTTTTTCTCCACACCTAGTAAAAGAGCGCATGCTTTGCTTTACCGATCTTGAAGCAAGGACATCACACGCTGTCTGGCTTGTCGCTGTTGCTTTGATGTGACCTGTTCTCACCAAAGCACATGTTGCCAAGGTTGCTAAGGGGCATTATTGGAAAGTGGTGCATTTGAGTGGGATTCTGTACTCCTCTGGAAACTGGGTTTGTTCTTCTAGGAGTGTGTTGTTGAAAAGTTTCTACCTCCTCATCTCCTTCACGTGGTCCCTTTGTATTCTGCATTTCTGTTGTGTATTGAAGCCAATGTATGAGCCTACATGATCACAGTCCTTTAGCCTCTAGAACTGTGTACTAATTAAGCCTTTTTCATTATAAATTATTGAGCCTTGGGGATTCTGTTATAGTAACAGAAAATGAACTAAGACAGCTGTGTATCAAATTATATTATCAATCTCTGATAACATTGAAATGACCAGAGGTTTTTATGCCTAGAAAAGAAAATTTAAGATTATTCTAATTTTTAAAGGTATTTTTAAAGGATTTACAGAAGAGTTTATTTTCATTGAAAGTGCAATGCCATTTGCAACATTCATACCAGTCTGGTGGAATAGTTGATCTAAAATGTACAGATTATAAATAAAGAAGAGAGATGAGACTGATTTTCAATGAAATTGTATATCCACATTAAGTGTTCTAGATCCAATTTCTAAATTCTGTTTTTTTCATTCTAGTAATCTGAGTACGAATATTAGCCCAGTTCCTGACTTGATGCTTCCTATGAACTTTGAACATTTCCTTTAAAAGGTAAGCACCTTCCTCAACTCTTGGATCAAGGATAGCATTGTAGAATGTTTTATTCAACAACATGATTCATAACACTGAATAATTATTGTAGAGAAATAATCAACTCTACATTTCATAAAGGTTCCTGAATGACAACACATGATTTGCATTCTTAATCATGAATCTAAATTCTTCATTTGGATGAACAAATGCATGGCTATCCAAAGAAGATAAACATTTTTCTGAAATGCATAGACTTGGAAGATTGTATGACATGTGATCAAGGAGATTTTAACAGCTTGATTTTGATGCTACAGGAAAGCATAGCACTGTCTATGATCTCCTGGCCCTGGCCACTGTTCCGGCTTTAACGACAGCCTATTCTGTAGCTCACAAGATAAGGGGCTGCACCAGGCTTGGCATCTGAAGACTGAGATGGGTGGAATATATGACGATTCAATGTCTTTGGGAATAAGAAAACATTAACTCTGCCATAGGATTTGCCATAGGATTTGCCATAGAATTTGATACCATAAGTCAAGGGAAAGAAAATTAACCATATTCTTTTTTTTTTCAGTTAGCTACAAATCAAAACTAACTTCTTTCTCCAGATAGCACATGAATTTCCTTGCTAGCATTTTTCTTTACAAAACAGAAGCAACTTAAGAATTAAAAGCTGAGGTGCTAGTACAGATTCCGAGGGAGAACTCTGTCCAAAGTGATTTTTAATGTATAGTGTGGACATCACACTTTGTCTGTCTACTTTTCTCAGTGCTTTGGTAAATTCATGCTGTTTTGACTCTATTTCAAGTACTAGTTATAGAATTGTACACACCCTTCTCTCCCTTCATGAGGATTATGTTGTATTGAATAAAGAGACATGGTCCCCAAATGAACTGTATTTTAATGTATTGGATGGTCAAAGTGGCATGGAGAAATGAATGACAATCAAATACTGATAGGAGTAACCAGAAACTTGGGAATGTAATTTGCAACATTGTGGACCAGATAAGGTTTCATTAAGGCCTTTGCACTGTGACAGTCTGTAGATGTAACCAACTGTCTTATTAAATAAGAAACACAGAACCAATGTAAAGAAGAAAGCCAAGAGGTCAGAGCTCAGAGCTAAAACCTTACCCTTCCTCCTGCGGTGGTCCTACCTCTCCGAAAAAGAGACCTACTTCCTGTGTGTTTGTCTTTAATATAGTCTTTCTGTTCTGCCTTCTCATTGGGTGTAAACCCAAACACATGACTGCCTCATCACTGCCTGTAAGTACAGCCCTCCAGGTCTTAAAGGCATATGTCTCCAATGATGGCCGTATCCCTGAACACACAGAGATCTACCTAGCTCTGTCTGCCAAGTGCTGGGATTAAAGGTGTGCACCACCACCGCCATGCCCTTGCTATGTCTCTAATAGCTCTGACACCCTGGCAACTTTATTTATTAACATACAATTAAAATCACATTTCAGTACAGATAAAATACCACTATATTTCCCCTTTTCTATTTTAATAAAAAGAAAAAA